GTTTCTACAATGTCTAGTGATTGAAGGTGAAATGAATATTTGGGCCGCGGCCGGATTCGAACCAGCGAACACCGGGTTTCCGGCCCAGTCACGAATTCATCTGGTAGTCGGGAAAGACTCTTGATGATTCAAGTGAAATAAAAATCTGGTCAGCAGTCGGATCTTGTAACTCAATTGGTAGATCATCGGGCCGGAAACTCAGTGACCGCTGGTCCGAATCCGGCCGTGGTCCAAATTAGCTGGTTTCATTTGTCATTTAATTTTGTTGGTTTTCAATTGCTGTTGATTTAAATTACTGCGAATCGTATTCACACATAACTAGGTCAATTTCTATGACGTTCATGTTTCTTCTATGTGCGGACTAAACCATGAAAACGGTCCACACACGAAGATGTAATACGCCTTCCTTAGACGAATTGAACACTAAATTTTAACCGTTCAGTGATAAACTTTCATACGACAGCTTTTTCCAGATTCGATAAGAATTAGTACAACCGAAATATTCATCCGTTAAACATGAGTCAAGAGATATGCATAACTGAAAATAGATGAGAGAATTAGGCGGTTTAGCTTAAACATCATGGGATAATGATTAATGGTTGAAATTGAATAGCCGTTACTAACTGACTACAGCATAAAGCCCTACCGTCCTACTACAGTTGACTTGGTTGTGGCTAGCAGAAGAATCTAGGATGTGCGTTTCGTCCCATTTTAGCACTCATCAGCTGGATGTACCTGCACACCCCACTGAGACTCGAACCTCATACCCACCGTTTCAAAGGTCAAAGCGTTATCCATCAGTCGACTAAGGTATGATAGACATCTCTTTTACAACAGGTATTAGTTATTATTGTTTGTTGATACTTGTAATTCTCTGTTGTTATACTGGACGGAACTGATCGACCTCTGTTGGTAATATGGGCTGCTATGCGGGAGCTTCGATATCAGCTGAATATTTGTTGCCATTATTGTTATAATCTGTCGTCTTGTCTTACAAAGAAATGTGTGTATAACATGAAGTCGAAAAAAATGATTTCAGCGAAGAAAATTTCCCCTTGCGACGACTTCATCTTCGAAAGCTGTACAATCGTACTTATAGATAAGTTGAGGTAGACAATAGCTTGTATGCGTGAGTATCTACATGTTCACCTGCTCTTGTGGAGCTAGGTACTTAGGATATTCACCGAGAAACATTTAACGTTCCATTCGAGATTACTTTCCAGTACGGTTGAGTTAAAGAGAGTGTAAATTCATCAATTATCCAATATATCAAATCAAACTTATCGAAAGGTGCACGTATTCAGATACCTTGATGATATATAGTCTTAAACCAGAACCAATGGTACAGAAATAATCTGTATGATCCCTTTCACTACCTTGGATTTAGAATATCCTTTTTACTGAATGATCACTATCATATCACATTTTGTCTGATTGATATTCACATTTGTTGTTTCATTTGTTCTTCATTCAACTACCTTCAAATGAGATCACAACATATTCATTCACTCATTCACCTACCATCTCTTACGTGTTTAACTTTTAGTTCAGTAAACTTTTTCAACTAATTTGATGATTTATGAAATATTATCCTCATTCATATTATTTCACTTTAGTATAAAAATGAAACACATAAACAAATTTGTTATTGATACTGGGTAATGATTAAAGGTACGATGGGCTGACCGCATCAAAAAGCTCTTGAACTGACCACCACCACCACCTGCAACTCGTCCAGAAATGCCACCTGCAGCCACAGAACTACAAATCCTCCGACAAAAGTCGAAGTCCTGAAAGCCATAAAGTTGCTGAAATGTGGGAAAGCAGCAGGACCAGATGGAATTCCACCAGAAGCACTGAGAGCAGACGCAGGGAAAACAGCGGACATGCTCACACTACTACTCCAGAAGGTCTGGAAGGAAGGAAAGGCACCTGACCATTGATTGGAAGAAGGGCTACCTTGTCAAACTCAAAACCTAAGTCTTCGCAAGAACTGGCGAGGAATCATGCTCCTGACCACTTCAAGCAAAATATTATGCCGCATCATCCTAGAAAGACTAAAAGATGCGCTGGATTCAAAACTACGACCGGAACAAGCTGGCTGGCTTCAGGAGGAACAAATCATGTGCAGACCAAATTGCAACGCCACGTTATGCATCATCATAGAACAGAGTATAGAATGGAATTCAACCATCTGCCTCAACTTCATTGACTTTGAAAAGGCCTTTGACAGCGTCAACCGAGAAGTAATTTGGAAACTAGTTCAACGTTACGGAATACCACAAACCTTTATCAACCTCATTCAACAGTTATATCAAGACGGCACATGACTAGTAATTCACAATGGGAAGCTCAGTGATGCTTTTGAAGTGAAGGGAGGAGCAAAAGACAAGGCTGTCTACTATCACACATGATCTTCCCGATTGTGGTCGACTTGATCATGCAGCAAACAGTGAGGAGCGAGAAGAGGAGGATACGCTGGACCGAGGAAAACATCCTAGAAGATTTGGATTTCGTCAACAATGATGATTTATGTCTAATATCATACGAACTCGAAGACCTACAGGCGAAAACCAACAAGTTGACAGAAGAGGCAGGGCAGCGAAGACGGAACTTCAAGTGAACGTAGAGAAGACAGAGGTGATGATGATACCCAACCAACGCCACCAACAACAATAACAAGCTCCAATCACCATCAATGGGAGAAACTTAAAGGAAGTAGCCTTTTTCACCTATCTAGGCAGCAACGTCTCAACTACAGGCGGTACAGGCACAGACGATAACGTCAAAGCCAGGATCGGTAAAGCAAGACATGCTTTGATTAACCTGAAACCAGTGTGGAGAGATTCTGCACTCAGCATGTGGAACAAGATCCGGATTTTCAACACCAATCCAGTCAAGTCAGTGCTTCCATATGGTTGAGAGACTTGGCACGTTATGAAAAGCATTCCCAACAAACTACAGACATTCATCAACAACTGCCTACGCTCGTTACTGAAGCTCAGACGGCCAGAATAATAAGAATAAGCAACAAGCAACTCTGAGGACGAACCAACCAGGAACCTATCGCCTAAGAAATACATAGAAGAAGAAAGTGGAGACCGATAAGATTGAGCATGCACTGAGAAGAGCATTTGGGGACATCACGTGCCAGGCACTCGAGTGGAACCCAGTTGGGAAACGACTAGTTGGGCATTTGAGGGTGACATGGAGGAGATCATGTGAGGAAGAAGTGAGAGCTTCTGGGCTGTCGTGCAGCCAGGTACAAAAGATTGCAGAGAACAGGGTGGAATGGATATGTGCTACTGAAGACCTATGTTCCACTAGTAACCCAAGGGTTAAACAATAATAATAATAATTGAAGGTGAATTGAAAGTTAAAGCCACAGCAGGATTCAGACCAGCAACCTCTGGGTTTCCGACCCGGTGCTCTACTAACTGAGCTAAGAGACCTAGCTGCTAAGCGGTATCAGATGGTCAGACTGATAATCAATATGATACTTCCTCTCTCTAATTAAGGATGAATGGGATTGTGATAATGAGTCCTTCCTTTCACAAACACATCTTATTTTTTGCTTAGACTTATATCATCTACACATTTCATTCCTGAGTAGTACGCTACCTTTATTTTCCTAAGTTTCGACCTACATTGATGGTCTAAATGTCTGGAGCATCATGCTGTTTCCCCATTATTTTTATCATCACTGAGATCACTATCATTATCTATTGTCTGTATATTGGCTATTTGCATGCTTTATTTCCTTGTTGCCACAGCCTAAAAAATTCACCATGACTGCTTCAATGTTTTACATATCAAGAGATTTGTTTATATTAGCGTGTAGCTTGATGAGAGGTGATCGAAAACAAAATTGATTTCATGTTGGTATTCATCATGAAGTGACATCAGTTTGAGGAATATTGGAAACCTGGGAGTAGTGCGGGACCTCTGATGAGTGTGCATCCATGACTTGGCATCCCAGGGCTCGAACCCAGTACCTTCGGGTTCCGCGGCTAGCATATTACCATTGAGCCACTGGTCGGAACCAAATGTTCCATATTTCTTACTTCGATCAGTTCGTGATATAGCACGACGTCCATCCAATGCCGTCGTCGAGTAACTATCCTCGTGTTCGACTTGGTTGGCTTCATTGATCACGACTTCTCATTGGAAATTGCGGAATCACTTCACGAAGCTAGTCACCAATGAGCTCCAGATTAATTCAACCTGGAGTTTTGTGGAGATTTTATTAACTGATTTCAAGTTGGAATATTGATCATTGGTTTCTGACCAAATGGATGATCGCAGGACCTGAAGGTCCTTAGTTCAAGCCCTTGAGGTGCGGACTGCCTAGGAATCCCTTTTAAGAACGAAACAGTTGTCCAGTGCTCCCAAGTTTCCAATGCTTCACTAAACGATGTCAGTCCATGATGAACTTCAGTCTGAAAACAATATTCTTCTGATTTTGACAATAAGATTTGTTAACATTTTTTTTGTTTGTTCTCATATATACTGTACTGGGACTATAAGAGTAAAATGAACCTTGTACAATGAAAGAGATTTCTGTCATTACTTAATATGTCAGTCCTGTCCCATGGCCCTCAAAGTGGAAAACTCTCCGGAATAGGAAGAAAATTGTTACTTGATAAATTCACGCTTGACATTTTCAAAAAATCTCTTCACAGTTTTCTTTTCTTTTAGTGTTAACTTATGCTGACCTTGTCGGTAAGATAATATGTTGATAATGCATTGTAAGAAATCTTTTTACTCTCATATTCCCTTTCAGGTTGGTTGTAGAACAGAATAGAATAGAATAGGGAGAGAACAATGAAAGGAATAATGCGTGTATCATCTCATCAGCTGAATTTACCTAGACAATAAGATACATATTGGTAAAGCCAATGTAACATACTTCAACCTCTAGAATTATTAAATAAAGTATGAAACATCATGATGAAATTTTTTTTTAAAAGAAAGGTAAAGCGTAGATGAAAGTGACTCACTTTATCACTGTCTCCATAAAGTTGTTCACCTTCTATTACTGTAGTAACAATGACCTTCTTTAAATCTATTGGCATATCACCAGATATTTCTTCGTATTGTTTCAATTCAGTTATTTCAACAGGTATTCCCTAGAAATATTGTTGTTCAAAGGGAATTTTCAATACTATTGACTAAACTACTTAAAATAATATTTATGTTAAATAAAACATAAGCTAAAAATCATTTATAATTTGTGTCAAAATTAAAGGAAACATATCGGTAAAAACAGAAAATAAATATTTTTCTTTGTTGAATAAAATTATTCAAAAGTCATCTTTCTTACTGTATATACATATAGTAAAAGTTGAATACTAGGCTCCCAGTGGATTTTACTGAATTTTACACTCTCTTAGACATCAGACTGGCAGGACTTCTTGCTTTGTCTTCCATTTATCTATCATAAACTAATTTTCTATTCCTTTTTAGCTGACAAAAATTTAATGTCTTTATAGAATTTCAGTTTGAAGCTTATAAATTTTTAGAAAATTATATCAGTAATGTAAAAAATAAATTCGTACGACAGTCATAGAATAAAATAGATGAGGACATGGAACAAACCGGTGAATCAATTAACTAGAACCTTTGGAATGTAAGTAAATACGCGTGTGTGTGTGTGTGCATTGTAATGAAAGACTTAAACTTCATAAGAATACTTTTGGAACTCTGCGTTAAGAAATAAAGTTATAACTACCCTCTAGATATCTTTTATTGATGAATAACTATTTTCAGGACACGTTTCATTTGAGAGGAATGAGTACTATAGTGTTAAAAGTCAATCGGTTGGCAGGTCTGCTTCTAGACACTTGTCAGCGAGATGTATCTGAAACTTTGAGGAGAACCACATTCACTCCACAGTCAATCAGTCAGAGATGTAGTCAACGATTTCATTAATAAATAATTTACGCTATAACTGTCACTGTACTAGACTGAATTATATAAGTGAATTGGTTGCTAGATGGTATATAATGTAGGCATCGATGTTCTAAGTATTGACGAAAATCTATCGGTTGCGTGATTACTGCCTTATTCAACATGATACTCTATTTTCACACAAGTGCAAATGGTTCAAGCATTACAGATAAACAGTATCCTATATAAATTGAATAATCTGATCTTCACATCGAAAATTTGTGATTCATCTATGAATCATCACTTCATCATAACTGATTTTCTCATGGACATTGTGGCCTGATATCAGTTAGAGAATCATTAATAAGTTGGGAGCACCTGACACCTGTTTCGTCCTAGTAGGTGACTCCTCTACAGTACAAGCCCACAACCCTGCCAGAGACATTCAGGTCTAACTCATGGTGAATACCTTAACCATTCACTTATTAGATCGCAGCTCAGTGGTCCAAAGTCGCCTACTTCTGTCATTTCACGATATGGGGCGACTAACCACGGTTTTTGGCTGACATCTACTTCACTTCCAACCGGTTGATCCTATAGCTCATCCATCTGGAACCATGTGATTAATAAGCACTACACAGCAATGTAGTTTGAGGTATGGATGATAACAACAGGAAGGGGGTGCTATAAATTTAAATGCTGGTATGACCCATTTTTCTTAATGAGCTTCAATCATCATAATCGCAATGAAGTAAACTTTAGCCTACTCTATCTGACCACATTTTAAATAGTCTTGTTAAAAGAGTGAATAAGTGTGTGATAAATGACTTGGTGGTTGCTACCAGTGGAATCCAGGACACGCGTTTCGTCCCATTTCGGCAATCATCAACTGGATGTCCCTTCACTCCAGTGAGTGATGATGCTCCCGCTCAGACTCGAACCACGCATCTATCGTTTTGGACGTCATAGCGTTATCCACTAGACCATCATGTGATACTTATTTTTATCAATAAATAAGTACTTTACTGTTCAAAATAGTGCATTGATTCATTTTATAAATGATAAAATAACTTTGTCAAAAAGTTCCTTTCTATGGACTTTTACAAGGAGGGAGTAAAATCTGCTGGAAAAATGATGTTTTTGCATAGACGAGTAAAACTGTCAAACCGTTCTGTCTTCATCCCTCCCTCCCTCTCTCTCCCTCTCTTTAAGTCTCTCTTTCATCAAAGGTTCTGCAATTTCTTTTTATTGCATCTTTTATTCAGTGATATACACTTCCGAATATTGATTACACCAATAAATCTGTGTCAGATGATGCCTAGGAATCTGTGTTAACTAAAAAAATTGGCTGCTACTTTTCAGATAGACTCCACTGTATATACTTCTTTAGCAGCAACACAAGTGGGTAAGTGTTTGTGACATAAGAGACTAAGGCTTCTTGGAATATAAGTATTATATATCATCAAGTGATTAGAATGGCTTAAATTTTCTTTTGAAGATCAGTATCTTGGACATATTTCTGTATAACAAAACGTTTAAGATGATGCATAAAACTTAACTTGACATACATTCAACAACAATTATCGACAAAAAGCTTGATTTCAAGTTGCTATTCATCATAGACTGAAATCAGCTGGAGAACCATTGGAAGCCTGGAAGCATGGGATTCCTCAGTAGTGTGAACCCATGATCCGGCCAGGGCCCAAACCCAGGACCCTCAGGTTGCACTGAGTCGGGGCCCAGTGGTTCATATGTCCAATCGTAACGTGTTGAACCTGAAGGCTCCGAGTTCGATCCCTGGCGGGGTCATGGGTGAACACTATTGAGAAGTCCCATGCTAGGATGAAACAGCTGCCCAGTGCTCTCAAGTTCCCTGTGTTCCTTCAACTGATGTCAGTTCATGATGAATACCAACCTGAAATCGATAAACCCCAGCAAGACCCTAAATTTAAATAAAGCTTGGTATAACAGTGTGACGGTTGAGATCACCACACTTCTCCTTAACACATCGAAACAGAAATTAACAAGAGGAAAGACAAAGAAATGAAAAATTACGTCAGACGTTGAAAAAGTAGTCAGTCATATGATGAATGTAGGAGAAGAGGTCATTGATAAATGACAGTGTGATGCAGGCGGAGGTAATATAGGGATAAATCTGCGCTAATGTGATCAATTTTGTCATTCATTCAGTTGTCTCAAAGACCCCAATCAGCAGGCTCACATTTTTTTAGACAGCTTAGCTCAATAGTCAAAAGTCATATGCCCACATACCGGTGAAACATCTGCGTCTAAGTACTATTGAGCAATTCTTCAATCCAACCCTGAGTCAGCTGATACTGTGTGCTAAGGTAGATAGAAATTTAGTATACCTCACACATATACACGCAATGGGTGCGTAAAAGCTTGTCAATGAACTTTATCAATTTAGCCATAAATCTATGTATAACCTGTCCATTGCTCATACAATGGTTTCATACAAATAAGGGGCGCTATGGAAGTAAAAGAAGTCAAACATCTGAAATCTAAATGGCCATACGTTGTACAGACGGATGATTCAATCGCTCCTTGATGAGCACTTGGGTATTTCACTGGTAACACATGTTGAGTGGGTTGGAAGGAGCTAATGGATCACTCTGTATCCATGTAAAGCTAAATAAGTAGTCAACAAACTCTATCCTGGTAAAGTCAGATGAGGAGACAGTAACTTTCGTAAGTCTCTGGTAATCGTTAAATAAAGATAAAAAGAGTGGACACTTCTGAGGAACAATAATTCAGTCATCAGGAGGTATCCAATACAGTTTACACTGCAGTGAAATACAAACTTATTTTTTTGATTGGTTTTCCTTCTGACAACTACATTTACCTACTATTGATGTTCTTTCATAGATACATCAAAACTAGTTTGCTTTCAAAGAACGATGTTTGGTTGCTGGTAGACTGACAAAAGAATTCAGACACGCGTTTCATCTTATTTTGGACTCAACAACTCCATGCACCTGTATTCCACTTGTCGATGATATCCCATCCGAGGATCGAACTAAGGATATGTCGTTTAGGACACCAGATCACTATCATCTACGCCAATGAAATATTGTCACTTACAACGAGAAATCATCAGCACTAATTAGTAAAAAGGCATTCTCACAACATAATATGTGGCTCCGATGACCCAGTAGTCTAATGGACAAGATTTCGGTGTCTAAAGCGATGTTCGCTGAGTTCAAGTCACAGTTAGGAAAACACCATTCATTGAGATACAGATACATCCAACTGTTTAGTGTCAGATAGGAAGAAATACGCGTTTTCGATTCCACTGCTAACAATCACCAAATCAATAATATTAGAATGAAATTTAAGCCAATATCTGGACACTGGTTCAAGGAGACCCATATGCCAACAGGAATTGACCAACTTGGTCCAATAAAATTAACAATGCGAAAGTACAGTTAATAGTAAGCAATAAGGATATTTATCAAAAACACTGAACTACGATAACTAAAGTATCTTTTAAACGTCTTTCATAAGTAGTATCACTTCCTACATCCTGAGTTACATACGCATATTATTATCGAAATAATTCAGCAGTGAATGACTTGTCTCTCAAGTTGATACTGGGTGACATCGATTTATACTTTCAAAGGATTATGTAGGTTATCTCAAAATTGTAAATTTGCCACCACCTACCTCGACATGAGACATTAGCCAAAGTAGGATTCAGTTGAAAGAAGGCTAAAGGTGACCAGACCACAATGTAGCTTCAACCCGTGAACTGTTTAACTGTTAGTCTGAGCGGTGCAGGGAGACGTAAACTAACAGCTTTGACTCCTTGAAATAATAGTAATCAATGGTTGGAAATACTTGATGACATGCATGAGAATTGGTCACAGTAGTGAAGACGTATTCACTTCCTGACGTCTTCTAATGTTTGAACATTTCCAGTAACTATCGCTTTCAAATTCTTCCCCTCCCATACCTTTCTGTCTACTGTGATATCACTGTTTCTCTATACATTTGTTCTTTGCATGCTCCTGGGAAGAGTGGCAACGTGAAGTGATACACTTGTGTGCGAAATTCTAAGTTAATTTTGTCTGTCTATCTATCTGTCAGAAAATAGCAATTCTTAAACCACACTTAAATGCTCATTTTCTTAAATTTCATTTTAGAATCAAAAGATGACTTTGTTAGAAGCCCTTAGTATATTGTATTTCCTAAATATTATTATTTTTTCGTAATATACTGGTCAGAAGCATTACCTATTAGTTTAACCCAACCAGCTATATATCATTTCACTAGGTTAGTTTTGAGTCAGTACTTGAGATAAATACTAGTAGTATGTTGTACAACAATACAATACCCTCTGGTAATTGTGTCAACTCGGTTATCCCACTGATGAACTCAGCTTTGAATGAGGAAATCAGTCGTCCTGTGTAACCTCGATATGGGGAACCAGTACTGTTGAGTGACCCCCTGACGTCACTTGAGAGTATATATCATACAGCTGTCATATTTGTTATCCTAGCAACATCCATGATGTGCAGCTGATCACACATTGGTATTGTCAAAATTTTATATTCTGTAAGAAAATAAAGTAAGATTTCCCATTTAATTTCTAACTGTCTGTATCATACTGATATGGAACTGCATATTTCACAAAGAAGTGATTTGAAATCTTTGTATGTCAACTACTTGAGGTTTGTAACTTTAGCTAAAACACGACTATGGGGGGGGGGGGGGTAAAACTGTTAATAAGAAATGAAGTGAAGCCTTTACTTCTCACACAGACTTTACAGAATCTTCTTAGGATTTAATATTCATATCGAAGCTCAATACACGACTTCGCATACCTAGGGAAGTAAATGAAGGTGACAGTAGTGAATTTTCGACTTCCAATATGCTCAAAGTTTTACTTTATGTACTCAACACAATAGTGTTTTCTTTCAGAAACCACGTTCTGTGGCTATTAAATGTTTGTTAATAGAAGATGGAGAAAGAAAAAACCAGACATTGGCATCACTGAACACAAATAGGCGTAAATCTCTGATTTCATCCTGAAATGAATCAATGAACACAGAGCACTCAGTAACCTTGTGCACATTCGTGCACTGGGCATTAAGCCACACCAATTGTATGAAGGTTAATGAAACTACATAGCCACCCAAATCTCGGTAGGTGGAGCGGTAGCACACTGATTGAAAGTCAACTGCCTAAACCAACAAGCCATACCTAGTTTCCTCTCACTTGTTACAGATTATCATCGTCAAACCAGACAATGGTTCATTCAAACAAAAATAAACACGATGATTGTGTACACAAAACAGCAAGACAATAAACAAAGATGTAGGATTATTTGTACTGACTTTTGAGTAATATATATTTTGTTCTGTATATCATTTCCATCATAATGGATATCGATGAGACTCAGTAGTTTTATTTAAAGTAATCAAGTAACTATATGCACACTAAAATACTAGATCTTGAGTAATACTGGTGATGTAAGGCCTAGAGGTTGTTACCAGCTATCTGAATCACACCATATGGAGTAGTGTTCTACCCCTTACTTGCTTAAAATACTAAAATTACAGTTCCACAATATCTATACAAGTGTGTATAAGTTTCAAAATACCCACCTGGTAGGATAGATAAAAATAAGAAAGTGTAGGTTATTGCATTTTAACCCAGTAGCTGAATGGTATCCTGCTTGCTGTGGATGATGAGTAGGTTTGCACAGTCTAGCAGTCCTAATACTAGGACAAAACAGCTGCCCAGTGTTCCCAGGTTCCCAACAGTCCTCTAACTGATATCAGTGCGTCACAAACCACCTAATGAAAAGTCAGTAATCCTTAAAGCGATTTCCTTATCCATCTGTTGGGTAAACAATTACAACGAAAGCATATACACGTTTTTTCTTCTCGTTACCGATACAGATCATACTGTTTCTAGTTCACATACATCAACAGCTGCCAATGCTCAAACTGAAGATCGGATGGCGAGAAAGAACAAGCAAGGAGGAACTCTGGCTGGCAACGAACTAACCAAGAACCTATCGCCCAATAAATATGCAGAAGAAAGTGAAGATGGATTGGATTAGGCATACACTGAGAAGACCATTTGGGAATATCACTTGCCAGGTTCTCGAGTGGAACCCGAATGGCAACTGATGAGTTGGACGTCCGAAGGTGATATAGAGGAGGTTGTGTGAGAAAGAAATGAAAGCTTACAGGCAGTCGTGAAGCCGGGTTAAAATGATTGAAGACAAGAGAGTGAAATGGCAACGTGCTACTGAAACCCTATATTCCACTAGGAACCCAAGGGACAAACAATGAAAAAATAAGTTCACCAAAAAAAACTAGTCATTTTCATAACTCAGCAATTACTATTCATTTTAAGTTAGGGTTAGAGGTAAAATCACATAAATTATCAATTGACAACAAGTCACGTTATCTGTGCCCTGGTTAACGATAAAACAAAGTCTCTTAGAACTGAACAGAAGGAATAGAGATTAAAAGAATGGCTATTATCATTATTATTATTATTATTTGCGTAAAACTTCGGCACTGTGGTAGAATTTAATTCCATATTACATTTGTTTATTTGACTTATAGCACACTTGATCACGTAAATAATACTAGATCATTGTGCGTTATAAACCAAATAAACAAATCTAATATAGAATGGCTATTATTTCTGTATGTTGAGGTTTATGAGGATTTTATGTTTAAAGTAGCATTCATCACAGACTGTTATCAGTTGGAGAACCATTGAGAACTTGAGAGCACTGGACAACTATTGTACCTTAGTATGAGTCTCCTCAACAGTACCCATCCAGGACCTTCAGGTCCCATGGCCAGTAAGCTCCCATTGAGGAATCTAGTGTTCCATATCTCCTACTTCTGTCAGTTTACGATGCACCGCAACCTACATCCAATGCCACCGTTTAGTAACTGTCTTCATATTTGATTTGGTTAGCCCCATTGGTCACGACTTCTCATCAGAACTTCCTGAGTCTTATCTCGAAGCAAGTCCGTGATGAATATCAACCTGGTGCAAAATCTCACCATGGTTTCCCAAAGAAACCAAAGCATTGAGGTAATCTAATACGATATGCTTGGCATCACAACTGGTATCAAGACTAAGAGCAAGAAACTGCACGTCATATACTACTGATTGACATAAATAGTTCTAGACCGCTCACACTGATCAATAGTGCTCGCTAGCCAGATCAGGGTGATCTGACTCGTTAGAGGCTAGGCTCATCAGTGATGCACCCGGATCAATTCAGCCCACAGATCCTGATTGTTCAAACAACCCGAATCCTACCAGACCACAAGTGCTCTAACCCAGTGCACTCAAGTAACTAGGCAGAATTCCTATGATTGGAACAACCCAGTTTTCTGAGCTAAATCAATTCGGCTACACCATTAATGAACTCGGCTTCAAAAAGCCGCCTTGATCTGGTTAGCCACCACTGCTGACCAATTTCAGTGGTTTAGAACTACCCATCTCAGTCAACAGTATAGTATGGTCTTGGGGAATCATTGAAAGTAAAACTTAACAGTTCGTTAATTCCATAAGTTTTTGATTGCATAACCAATCATAACTTCTTTTACATTTATATGTCAAAGCATAAAAAAACTGAGTGTGAAAGAGGAAAAGGCATATCTTATGCATAGACATATATTGATCCTACAAAATACCAACTAAACATTTTATTATGAAAAATGGAAAAGAGAAATTGATTTCCAATCAAATGAAAAACTATCACTTACATTATTTGTATCATTTGCATACATATCATCTTTACCATTCGATTGTATCCCATGAACATCTCCCATAGATGAATCGAAATCAACTGTTTGCTTCATTTCATCTTGTTCTACATATTTAACTCGTCTAGAAAAGAACAAGTATATCTTTGTTAAAGTAATTTGTACCCGAATAGTCTGTTATCAGTGGATAAGTAGGTCATGTAGAAACTTTTATGCTGCTGATAAATCTCAAGGCAATCTTCATGACAAGTTGATAGTTAAGGAATAAACGATGAGGTATGCCAAGTACTGAATAGCTTTTGAACTCAGTTCTAGTACTGTTCAACATATTATACACTCCTACAGACTGTAGGATGAATACCCTGACCGTAGGATCAGTGCATTCAAAGAAATAACAGGATTCTCTAGAGTTCATTTCTTGGTAGAATTCATTAGTATCGAATGTCTGCTACTTTACCTAACATAAGAAATTGTTTATGGAATTGAAAAGAAAACGTATTTCAGTTTTGAAAACCCAGTGTCAGTCAGTTCAAACATCTCACAGGACACCAGTCCCTTCAAAGTTATAGACACATCTTGTTGACGATACCAAACCAAGTACAGCCGATTATCTCTATCTATCCAACATCAACCAAGGTGTACCATGATGATAAGTCTCTGAGTTTGGTGACCGTATTATAAAATTACCCAGAGAATTCAGTTAGCACTTAGGATGAGGTAACATGGAATTGGTCATCCTTCAGTGACTAATCTATGTATCCATCAGTTTTCTGCTCAATTGTTGCATGATACATCAATCAACATGCATATCTCACCCTCATTACATCATCTCTAAAGTTTAATTCATATTGTCTTACTTTCTGACTTTCGTTATAGACTGTCACTTCTTTATATAAATTCAGCATCTAACTCATACTACCTGAGCTCAAAGTACAACGTATTAACTGATATTATATATGCTTTGTGCAATAAATTAACAAATAAAAGCCAAAGGGACTGAAGAATATGCAACAAACTATCTCAGAAATACCGTAAAACAGAACAATTTTAAAAAGTGAAATAAGCGAAGCGACATATTCTATACGCTTTGTGAAAATATTTTTCTTAAAGTTCAGTATATAAGAGCCTTTGTAGTGTGGGAGATTATAACTCCATTTTAGTTGGCGAAACAGTATTACTTACTGAGTAACGCTTGATGATGATGGCATTTCGTTGATATGTTTCATTAGCTATGGTAGATTTTCTGTCTTACTGCTAATACATTTCGCTCTGTTATTTTAACATTTCCCTGCAACTATCTCTTAACTGACATGAGGTGAAATGGCTTACAGTATAATCATCTACTACAGGAAATCAGACATATCAACAAAACATCATCATCGAGTTATTACCCTTATAGACTGGTCCAAAAATGAATAAGAGACTGTTAGAAAAGGATGAGTGAAATAGACACAGACAATGCTCACAGCAATAATCGCAACATCATGAAATTAGAATCCAAAAACCCAACATATTACTATACAAGGAATGGAGCTTAAGAAGTCTACGTAGGATTTTGAACAGGACTGAGATTAGGATGATCAGTGAAACTTACAAAGTCACTGAGAAACAAACTTTGTAGACTAAAGGATCCTAAAGAGCCCATTGGAGAAAAGAGTTTAATTTACCGAATTCTATGCAACGATTGTGAGGTCAAATGTATAAGTTATAGTAATCGTATGGGGTCAATTAGAATAAAAGAGCAGAAAAGCTTAACCATTACAAACCAGATAATCAGACAAAATCTCACAATGTGAAGAGACAAAGTGACAATCCTCAAAAGTAATTTACTCCCGAAGAGGCTGAGTCTGATAATCGAATGAGCACCAGGTGTGTGCAATAGGAATAAATCAGCACCTATTTCAGATATATGGAAACTTCTGCTACGCATATAACGTAGAAGGATAGAGAATTAGTACCACAAAAACTCTGTCTCAATGTTGTGAAGTTACCTTGATATATGACTTAGAGGTTAACAAAAGATTTTCATCAAAGTATGAACCCTTGCAATCTACTTTTTAATTATTCGAATTGTGAGATACAGCATGTCATTCTCAAGTTTGTAGGTTTTAGTACATAAAATAAGTCGATAAGCGCTTACTCTGATACATTTATACAAGTTTTTATTCTAAAAACACTAAGACTGAAATGCCGTTCATTTCCCGAAACAGAATCTGCAAGATAATATTAGTCGTTATCTGCACAAATATAGTCTTCATAAGAGACGAAGTACTTTTCTAAACTCCCTGTCAACTCCTTATATGCAAATATGCTCAGGCCTACCATCAATACTAGGTCTCACATAAACATTCCTCATAAACAGAAGGTCAATTTTAATGAGGACCATGAGGGGAGGAGAAGGTGCATGTTAGAAAACATAATATTTACCCCGTAGATCGTTGAAGAAAGTCAGAAATCTCTGGAACAGCTTAGCGTCAATCGAATTATCTTCCAACTCTCAGAAAATCATGTGACTATACATGTAGTTCTCTTTACAGCTAAGTTCGTAAAAATCATTGGTTCCAACTACCTTATGAAATACTGTCGAAACACCAAAGCCGACTGTAGGCAGATAAACACTTTGTAAGTAGCTGACTTTATAATGAACTTCATGCTGTCTTAGTACCCTTTTTCCTCTCCGAAGAATAGAACAAAGGGTAAAGTGGAATTTTGTTTGATTATTGCTCAAATGTCTACAAATCTATATCAACATCCAAGATATATATATATATATATATATCATAGTAAACACCCAAACCAAATATATGCCCATACCAGAAGTGAAAAATGTTGAATGAAACTGTGTAAAATTCTTTCGTGTATTTGATATTGTGGTAATTAGATAGAGCAATTGAAACTCCCTGGAACCTGAAAAAAGGATCTTCAAAATGGTTTACAACAAATCGCTTTCTCTCATACAAAGGTGGTTTCAACTTATGTATGGCTATCGCTTCCGTGAATCTCAGCATGTCCCTAACTTTTTCTATATAAAACTTTGAAAGCTGTTCGAGCATTCATATAGTGACTCGTTTCTATGATATGTTTAGCTAGTGATAAAGAAGGTCGCATCCCATTGGCGCTTATCAAAGTTTCACACTCCATCAATTTTTGAAGCCATTTAAGTAAATGTTATCCCACGCTCAACTCCAAGACTTGACTACTCCTCCCTACGTATGTGTGACCACAAACAAATGTAAACTGGTAAACACAATGCGGTGTGACGTAATCATTTGTACAGACTTAGGTTTACAGTGAAGCTTAGCTGTGTAATAGGTCTTTCTAATGGCTTATGTCACAAAATTGTACCATTCGACTCCAAACTGCATGCTAGAGTGAGGTGCAGACTTTTCTTAGGAACAGTGTACAGAGCTGACTTTCGGGCTACCTCACTTCTATAACGTATTTTAAACCTTTACCGATATCCATTTCCTATAAGTGTTTTGTTTTGATGAGGTTGAGTTCTCTGAGCTGGACTGCTTAATCGTCAAGCCTTCATTGTCATGCTAGACAACATAAACATCACAAACTCCAAAAAGAAGTGGCCAATAAGGTTTCTTCCGCAATTCATTTAGTACCTTGTCCTGATGATCTTGTGTGTGCTTCGCTACTTCTGTCAAGATCTCATCATTGCCTCCATGTTCATTTTGATTGGTTGTCCTGATGACCTGAAATTCGACCTTCCTGTTGTTTCACGTTGGTTAATAGATCCGGTCAATGTCAATCTGTCTGTCGGTTGCTGACTGACCTGAGTGCTAAGCTTCTAGAAATTCTTTGGCACTCTTTGTATTTCCTCTATCCAGCCAGGATTTTCACATTTTCTCAGTCAAATCCATGTCCCCAGTTGTCCGTATGTATTGATATGAGTGAGTATATGTCATTATACTTCTCTGGTAGTTGATGTTCATGTTCTCCGAGATCACGACTAGATTATTGAAGCCTCTTGGAATCACTGTATCTCACATGCCTACAAAATCTCTTCAGTTTTCTTTATGCAGGCCAAAAGATACAATAACAAAGGAAGACAAACCAAACGTTATCTACAAAATAAAGTGCAGAAACTGCATCGGACAAAGCAGTCGCCCTCTTCGTATCTGTCTACATGAACATCAGCTACCAGAGAAGTATAATGGCATATACTCACTCATATCAATACATACGGACAACTGGGGACATGGATTTGACTGAGAAAATGTGAAAATCCTGGCTGGATAGAGGAAATACAAAGAGTGCCAAAGAATTTCTAGAAGCTTAGCACTCAGGTCAGTCAGCAACCGACAGACAGATTGACATTGACCGGATCTATTAACCAACGTGAAACAACAGGAAGGTTGAATTTCAGGTCATCAGGACAACCAATCAAAATGAACATGGAGGCAATGATGAGATCTTGACAGAAGTAGCGAAGCACACACAAGATCATCAGGACAAGGTACTAAATGAATTGTGGAAGAAACCTTATTGGCCACTTCTTTTTGGAGTTTGTGATGTTTATGTTGTCTAGCATGACAATGAAGGCTTGACGATTAAACAGTCCAGCTCAGAGAACTCAACCTCATCAAAATTATCCCCCTGAGCTACAAATATTCTCTATCACCTCACAAGTGTTTCAACCGATAATTTCATATCCTTATCCGCCATATCTGAAACACAGATAAGATAGATGCTATTAAACAGGCATTTCATTAGACCTCCCTTTAATTGAATTGGACAAAAGCTATGAAAATGTAGATAATGTCATATCTACATAGGCTTTCTGTAAACTGACTGTTTTATTGAACCACCTTCCCTTCGACTCAAGAATGCATATAAGAATGGTAGATGATTATTATTCACTTTCTCACAACCCAAGTGAATGTTGGTTTGTACACTGCTAATTCATTTTGGTATACGAACCATATCTTTATGCTTTTCACAAACCACAATGATTTCAGTAATATATCACTTGTGAAGGTAAACTTTAGTGACAAGATCATCAACCAGATTTTCGATATGTGACATACATATTTATATAAAATAGTTGAGGCTACCAAATAGTTCCTAATTATACAACTAGTGATGGAATCCAGGATGTGCGTTTCATCCTGCTTGGGACCTGTCAGCTGGATGTACCTCCACCTCAATGAATGATGGTGATCCCACATCTTCGGACATCACAAAATGTACAAATCTTATTTCACTCGATAACTTTGTAACACATATAGTTGATCTACAATAATTATGATTAGACCGAAATTAACTTCATATGTATGTGTACAAATCGACTGTAATGTGATTTGCTTAGATTGCTATTTGAACAAGCTATTTTTATAATACGAATGAATGATATCAAAGTGAATCGTTTGTGACGATTCGAAAACTAGTCTAGTAGGATGTATTAACAATGTCATATCATGGAGAAGACGATATGACACACTGGTGATAATCTCCTACAACCAGGTAACCTAATTATAAGCATCCTGAATCATAGTGTTGAGTGATTTAACAAATACTCAATCATTTAAGGTTGTTTTGAGAAATAACATGATTAAATCAGAAATGAACGTGATAAGTCCATCTACAAATAGATTAAAGAAGGATAAATATGGTAGAACTCAAGTGGATGTGTAGATTCTACTCTTTAAATCAGAATGATCGAAACACTTGCTGATTATTTCACTAGTTTGGAGTTAAGTTTACCAGCGGTATGACTGGATAGATTTAGTACATAAAGCTGAATTGTTCAGATCAGCTCGAGTGGTGTATAACTACTTAAATTGTTCAGTAGTATATTTTGCTTGTTCATCACACCTATGTTAGAGATCATACCTTGTGATCTTGACTGAGGTGGGGTTTCCAATAGAAACTCTGTTGATATCATGGTCAGTTAGTTGAAAAACTACTCACCTGTAAAAAAAACGTGTAAATGTAGACCATGTAATTTGTAAATCATTTGCAAAATGGATTATCCTTTAAGAGAAAATATAACTGAAAAAGGTGAACTGGATCAACTACGGAATTCAGTTCTTTTTCTCATGAATACTGTTGATTAAAAGGTATGGTTTGAAACAATCATCGAATGTTAACTGTCCAGAAAACTAATCCACAATATTAGAAGGACTTACTATGCAGCCAGGGTTCGAGTAATCGAAACCACGAAGCCCGTATATTCCCCCAAACCCCCACAGCATGTGAACGATAATGTCACATCTCATTGTATCTACCAATTCAAATGTACGTGTGGTGACACATACATAGGGAGGACTAATAGATCCATGCAAGTAAGGGCCTCGGAACATATTCCAAAGTGGCTTTAGAAGCAAATTAAATCACCTAAACCTATAAATGTTGGTAGCAGACGTCCAAGTTCTTCGATCGCCAAACATATCGTTGAGACAGGTCACAAGATTGATGTGGCTACTTCCTTTACACCTATTTACAAAACATGTTGGGGAGGGATCCTGAAATTTGTTGAAGCCTTAGCTATTAGGAAGTTGAAACCACCTTTATGTGTTCATAAACAATTTGTTGTCACAGTAAACCTTCCTTGGTAAATTCAACTATTGAAAAACCAAGTTCGATGTACTATTATTTTTTCGCTCTATTGATTTTCCTTGTTATTCGGCCTTTAAGTCAGCCTTCCTACCTGACCCCTTTTTATTTTCTCACCCCTTATCTTCATGAGTTTTTATATAAATACCTATGACAAGTACGTATGTGATCAGATAGTTCGAAATGTGTTGCGCAAATACATTACACGTTTCAGACAATTTACGTCTTCTTATTGTTTTGTCGAAGTTTATAAAGGGAACTAATTGTTTTAAATAATCCACAATAATTTGGTAACAAACTGAGGATGACTTCGTTCATACAGCTTTCAGTTACTAAGAGTCACCATGTGTATTCATAAAATAAGTTTAGTAATCAGTCTGATACATGTGAATACACAAATTAGCAAAACAAAAAAGGTATAAACTACTCACTAACACTATCTTTCTCCTATTTAACTACTAATTACTCTAACATATATGCGTAAGTAAAACAACATAAGCTTGTCTGTGTTCAGATGTCAGTAGACAGCAGATTTACTACTTACAGCGCTTCAAGTTCCAGTCCTAATACGTCACAAAATTTAGCAAGTGTAATAATTCCTGTTCTCTGAGGATCGAATAATTCTTGCCATCTCTGAAAAACAAATAAATAAATGGTGAATACAACAGAAGTATGCAAATACCTATATGTGATAAGTGAAATAATAAGAAATCAGAATGAAGAAATCTGTCTCTCTGTATATCACAATTCACATAACAACCAATCGTTTGAACAAAAAAAGCTCAAACCAAACAACAAGCAAAGTGGTAACATTGGTGCAATTGCAACTTGTTACAACTAGAATAAGGGCTACCAGCTACCGCAACCATAAACTTCTGCCTAGAGGAAATTCCCAGCCAATGAGTCATTCGTTCCAGTTTCCAAGTTGGCATGCATCACGAAATGATATCAGTTGGGGAAGCAGTAAAAACCTGGGGAGCTCTGGACAGTTGTTTCGTCCCAGTACGGGACTCCTCATGAGTGCGCATTCATGACCAACAGTCGAACCTAAAAACTTCATATTTCATGGCGAGTAATGGATAGCAGTTCAATCCTTTACAGTTTTCAACTCCTGCCAATTAGCGATATAATGTGGCCATGGTTGAGTATTTGTCTTTACTTTTGACTTCTGGTTTGCCCTGACGGTCATGACTTTTCATTAGAACTTCGAGAGGTCTCACCCCGAAGTAATTCAATCTTCTGTTCTCTTGTAATTTACAATCCATTTCTTCATGCAAGCCAATAAGATGAATAAGAGCTAAAGCTAATAGTCCTAGCAGAATTTATGGTACTATTAAGGTTCATAAACCAGGTTGTCCCATTAGACCGGTAGTTGAATTCAGAAATACCCCCAACATATAAACTAGCTAGGTACTTAGCATCAATTTTATGTCCTTTTAGAAGCCGTTCAAATTCTAGACCAGTCAATTCTTACGAGTTAAAACAAAGTCTTATTAACCTACACACAGACGAGGATGAAAAAACGATTAGCTTCGATGTAACAAGTCGTTATATTAAAATACCAATTAATATGGCATTGGAGGCAGTCAGAAACCAACTAAGTATTGACTCAAAACTTACTCATAGGACTAAGACATCGATTGATGAGATCATATTAGGCGTACAGTTGTGCCTGACCTCCACAGCCTTCAAGTTTCAGGAAAAAATATATAGACAAACAGAAGTAGCAGTGCTCTCACCAATATCTCCAATCATAGAAGATATATTTATGAATAGTTGGGAAAACATGGCTCTACAAACGCTCAATCCTGCACCTAAGATATGGTGGCGATATATGGATGACACATTTACTCCGTTGAAATCGGAACATATCGACAGTTTCTTCACACATACAAACTCAGTAGTGGACGTAATTCAATGCATTTACGATGTAGAAAGTGATCAAGTAGAATTACCTATGTTGTATTACAGAATAAAACGAAGGGCAGATGGTTTGGATACTACTGTCTACAGGAAACGAACACATTCTAACAGGCGTCTAGACTTTAGGCCATCTCATCCAATGGCAGTGAAGGCAGGTTTAGTCGAATGTCTAAAAAACTCAACAGTCATTGTAAGCCCTTAAACAATGAATTGAAACACATAAGAGAAGCGTTAATAATTGATAACTATCCTCTACAGCTTATGAAGAAATTCGTAGAAAAAACAGAAGAAGCAAAATGATAACAGTAATAAGAATACGAATAATAGCAACAACAGGAGTAGAAATACGTTCAAATCTTCTGTTATGTTACCAAATAAGGAAGGAACATCAGAAACTTTACGTAGGATTCTCAACAAGGCTGGAATTAAGGTGGCGTTTAAACCTACAAACTCACTCACAGATAACGTTTGTCGGCTGGCCTAAGGATTCGATAGATCCAATTAAGTAAAATAATCTAATCTATCAAATTCCATGTAATGACTGTGAGGTCAGGTACATGGTGGGTCAAACTAGCCGGTCGGAGTCAGATAGATCAGCGGAACATAGGAATTTAACCAAGCTAAGAGTGATACACTCCAATAGGACCAATGACCTAGAAGAATCTCGGTAATTGCAATGCATGCATTAACAAACAACCATACAATAAAGTGGGACAAAACCACTGCACTAAAGTCGAGAGGAGATAGAGAGATTGACTACTAAATATTTGTTCATTGAATGAACACGCAATACATGTAATAGGGATGACACAACACCTATATCAGAGATATGGAAATTTTCACTACCAAAATAAACAAAGAATATGAGGTAACAGGACTATAAAAATTAAATGTCGAAAGGAGTGTGACTACATTGATATGATTATGAGCAATAATTTATGCTCGAAACGTCATCACTCACTTTGTACTGGCTATTATCAACTAAACAAGTCTAATATGAAATTACAGTGCCCAAGTTTTACTTATATAAATTATAAATGACCTATTTATGCTAGAAACTGGATAATATATTTACAGTGAAATAATTCCGACAAAATAATAATAATAATATGTAGTTGGTCTAAATTGTGAAATATGTTTATGCAAAATATTTTGAACAATTTCATCACATATGTACTTGTCCATAGGTATTTACGCGAAAGATGATAAACAGTTGAGGTCAAGTTGGGCGGTTAAATTGAAGGCTAAAATAATAATAATAACAGTACAACAACCTTTATTTTAAAGTCGAATTTAACACGGCGGATTTAAACTGTTTCAGGTGGTTTGAACTTTCCTAAAGCTAAGGCTTTCATGAATTTAAAGATATATATAACCCCTGACATGTTTTGTATAAAAGATATAGAAACATCAATGCTATGATTTGTCGCAGTAATACGCTTCGTAGTCGAGAAGCTTCGACGTTGGTTACCGACATCTCTTTTGACCTTCTCTTCAACCTTCTTGTTTCGGCTTTATTCATTTCCTCATCAATCAACTCTTTACCATCTTCCGCATAACTACACATCTACAACTAAGTGTGCATTCATATTGTTAAGCAAATACATTCCCCGATTCACATAAATCCTGACTTCTCTGTGTTTTGTTAAAGTTTATAAAAGGGATTAAGTGTTTCACATAAAATAACTTTGAAGTCTTAGCGGTAAAATGCATAGCAATAGGGAATGATTGAAAAGAAAGAGAATAAAGCCGACTACAACATAACTGTATAGAGGAATCCACTTGGATATATTAGACATAATGCACTAAAACACAATTATACAGCTTCTGTCTTCTTTTCTCGCATCAAACTACCTACTGAATGCACACGTACACACACGGATGCACAGCATATTTCCAATTCCTTTCTTGTCACTATTTCCTTAGTGGAAAAACAATCTCATCAGCTAATAAATTCCTTTCTTGAAGTGCTACATTATCTTTCAATAGATACTTTTCAGTGATTTACCAGTGCTTCACCTCAGTAACGAATGTCGTTAACACCAACCAGTGCACTTGGAATGATGAAATCTCACACTCATATACAACGTTAGTGACTCTATCATAAACCTAAATCCTGCTGCACATGAAGTCATTCGTCCTCAAATCATAGACAATACATAATTCTACGACTAATCATTACAACATAGCTGAATAACTAACTGTAATTTACCTCAATCAACAAACACTTCCTCATGAACGGAACCTTGATCAGATTTTTTCGACTGAATATATAAAATGGCATTCCTGTACGAAGTAGGATGATCAGATAGCAACTGATTTACAAATCACACCGTCCACGTTGATATTTCTCCTAACTGAGTAGTTTTTCAACTGCCGTCGTAACTATGGTGTCAAGAAGGTTTCCGTTGGGAACCATCCAACAGCCAAGATCACGAAGTGTGATCTCTGACAAAAAAGTGTCACGAGCCAACAACCTGAGTAGCTAAAAATCACTCCAGATGATCTAAACACGGATCCGGATCAGTTCAGCCCAGAGTCTAATTCGTTCAGATCACTGTGATCTGGTTAACAAAATCTACAGATCAGCCTAAGCGACTTCTTACTAAGTTGTTCGGTAGTAGTATATTGCTGTATAAAAACAACGAAATTTAGGATAATACTTCAATATAACTGGAATTTGTTTAGCCTACGAACACATTTCCTACTTAAGAGCGTTACACTAAATGTATGTATCAAAAGTTCATAAAGGTTTCCTTCAAAACTAAAAGCTTAAGAGTAGCCAACAAAGATCTTTGAACTTGGATCAAGGACCAGCATGGGTCAGTATCACAATCAATGCGGCTCGATAGCACCATACATGATTTCGTAGTAAACTATAAGCCAGACTTACAGTGATACGGCTTATGACGTCACGTGGTTGCCCAAACAGAAGCAGATGGAGTGAACGTTTAGGTCAGAACCTTCAGCTTGAGTTATACCTCAATTAGGAATCGTAATCAGAGATGTTACAAGTAAACTACAAGGTAGACATCTGGATTAGAATCTCATCTCATAGGATTGGAGGATAGGTTGAGGTTTATTAAGAAAACATATTTTGAAAAATTCCTAATGCAGTAAAAGAGTGAATTTTGATATTCCACTACTTTGTAGAAGTCGCTTCTTCAGGAAATGAAACCTGTTCAGGTTACCACATATTTCCATTTACTAGTTACTGTACTCATTACCATTCAAAGTAGGCGACCACGCGCGAAATGAATAAAACAACGCAACTCAACCGGGTATATATGGTTATGTACTAGGCTGTGAGCCAAACATCGTGTGACATGGTTACTTAAGCTGAAAGAAATGAGACAGTACCAAGTATTTTCACCGACTGGATCTAAGTTCGTGTGTCACACCTTATACATAATCCTCAGAGAACTGGGGAACTGTATCTCTAAAACCCAGGACAATCAGCTGTCAACTTTTTGACTTACTGATTTTAACCCTCCCTGTCTACCTCTACGTAGACAGCTAGGTGTCAAAATAGGTCGTTACATTCAAAATTTGATTGTACACATTTTTAAGTCTGTTAAGTAAACATATGAGTTGTAAACAACAATGCAACTGTCAGCTGAAAACAGACAAATTAAGACTTATCCGTGACCTCTCCAATCTCATATCCAGTAAACGTTTAACGGGTATGAGGAATGAGAGTTAAGAAAATA